TGTAGCTTGAATGCAGATGGGCTTTGACCCTGTTCCCTATTACACACATTTGCCCAAACAGAGATACAGTGCTTACACATGTGCAAGCTTATATGCTCATAGGCACTGTGAGCACACAGGAAGAGGCAGATTTGGCATAGTAATTTCTGTTCTTCCTGTACATATCTTGGCCCTGTACACAGCATCGGGCTTTGACTATGCATGCAGCAGGATGAGGACATTAAATACACTGAGGTTGAGTGAGCGATGAATGCACCTTTATATTAAAAAATAAAATAAAATAGAAACCTAAGACAGCAAAGAAAGGCCTGGAATGGACTTTCTCTCTAGTGTGTTCATCTTTTTATGTGCATGGCATTTTGACACAAAGGAACATTCCACAATTGTATCTCACTCTTCCTCAGACGCCCGCAGCCTGGAGTGGTACAGTCACATCTCACTACTACCTCATTCCCCTGTGGGTGTGGACCAGGCTTTAGATTTTGGCATGGTGGGTCCATTTTCAGGTTCCTCTCCAGCCCTGCATGATAGCGACTTGCCTTATGGAGGAGGCTGGAGGAGGTATGGAATGTGAACACTTTCATGCGGTATAAAATCTATAGAACCTGAATATGCTCATTGGCAGCATGTCTGTAGACGTTCTGGCTCCAACAACTTTTTTTGTTTTACTGTTCCTTTTTCAGATTGAATCTCCACGTCAGACTGAAAGCCACAGGTCAATCATCTTGTCTACGTACAACTTGGATTTGCTGTACCAAGCCAAGCGCAAATGCAATGCCACCCAGGAGCATGATATTGATCTATATGAAGGAGAAGTGGTGGCTATTGTGGAGCAAAAGGATCCTTTTGGAAGTGCAAGCAGATGGCTTGTTGACACTGGAAGTAAGTCCCTTTACGCAGTTCACTACAGGGGTATAGCTCTTCCAGTGAGTGTTTGTGTACTCAGCACTGGAAACACAGACCAAAATTAGAACTCATCAGCAGGTATATCAGCTCCCCAAAGAATGTATTTACCTCTTTCATTGCAGATGCACATATAATCTCTCACCACATCCAAAGAAATTAATATCGTGTTGGCATAGAAGTACCAAACAATTCCTAATGATGCTTGACTATAAAAATGCCTATGTGCCAAGGGGTAACCTACTATAGGCCATGACCTGGATGGCTCAGGATAGCCTGATCTTGTCCGATCATGGCAGCTAAGCAGGGTCAGCCCTGGTTAGGATTTGGATGAGAGACCACCAAGAATACAAGGGTCGCGCTACACAGAGGCAAGCAGTGGCAAACCACCTCGGAATGTTTCTTGCCTTGGAAACCCTACAGGGTTGCTATAACTCAGACGCAACGTGACAGCACTTTCCACTGCCGGCCTACTGCAGCGTGCATGAAATTGCTGGAAATATGTTTGTCTGTAATGTTATGCCCCTGGTCAGAAATCTGAAAAAGAACTGGGATGTGAAACAAAACTTAATATGTTTAGATCAATATTAAGTCAAACGATGTTATCTTTAGATTGTAATGATGAAAAACTGATATTGTTGATGATATGAAGTAATTTGGAGCAGGGGTGGAAGCATTGTGGGAAGCCATTGGAGGGAGGGGAGGAACTGGGAATGGGGTAGACAATTGATAGAATGAAATGTTTTATATGTTGTATTCCTGAGAAAATAAAATTTGTTTACCAAAAAAAAAAAAAAGAAATCTGGAGAAGCCAAAGATTCTCCTTATCATTTTGCAAGATGGGTGGATGGTGGAATAACACATGGTACACACATGTTGGTGAGTCTTTATATTCTGTGAGTTTCCCCCCCCCTGCATATTGCAGCCGTTGGGATTGCAGTTTAAAGCGACACACTACTGCAGGGAGAAAGTGGCTCTCTAACTCTTTTCCCATGCATCTTTCCCCCACCTTTTATTTCCATTTGGAAGAAATTATAAGTATCTGTAAGTTTTCTCCAGTGCAAGTAGAAACAACTGCCTAGGAGCAGGAATTTCTGGTGGGGGGAAAAGGCACAAAGCTACAAAGGGGTCACTGCACAAGCCTGCTCTTTTGAGTCACAGCCCTCCTGGCTAAACAAATATCCTTGGAGAACATAACCACAGAACTATATATAAATGTCATTACCAAGGGGTAACTGAGTGAGTTTGCAGGAGTCAAAACAAGAACGAGTCTTGTGGCACCTTGAAAACAAATAAATTGTGCCATAAGATTTTGTGTGCCAGAGCCCATTTATGTTACTTTTTTTGTTTTTATTATTTTTGTTAAGCTGCCTTGGGCAGGTTCCTAGAGAGACAGCATAAAAATTGTCTAAATAAATAAATGCACTAATTCTGTGATAAACTACTGCTGAGAAAATGGACATAATTAGGAATAACCAGAGAGAAGAATCCACAAATAAAAGAAGCCCATTTAGGTGTTTTAAAGAATGCTGAAAGCTCTAAAACTATAGGGAGAAGGTCTCTGGGATCTCTACTCGCTAGAAAACCCATCCTTTTCTGACTCTGTACATCTCCTTGCCATGAATCTCAATTTAAACTGTTTTACTCCAATATGTTACTTGCCATGACTTCATGAGACTCTTCTTTCTAAGATTTCGTTTTATAACCACACCCTTTTCCGTCTTCCCTCGGCTTTAGATTCAATAAAGTCCCCAGAACAGGAGTGCTGTTTCCTCAGAGACTCCACTTTTCCTAGTCTAGAGATGGTCTTGTGTTCAGCAGTCAGTTTTGAAATCCCTCCCTGGCTGAACACCTCTCCTACCAGTTTTTCAGTCTGCCTGATTCACCGCATGCAGGAGAGCCAGTTTGGTGCAGTGGTTAAGTGTGCCGACTCTAATCTGGGAGAACCGGGTTTGATTCCCCACTCCTCCACTTGCGCCTGCTGATGTGACCTTGGGTCAGTCACAAGCTCTGGCACAGCTGTTCCTGAAAGAGCAGTTTGTGTCAGAGTTCTCTCAGCCCCACCCACCTCACAGGGTGTCTGTTGTGGGGAGGGGAAGGGAAAGGAGTTTGTAAGCCGCTCTGAGACTCCAAGTGAAGGGCGGGGTATAAATCCAATCTCCTCTTCTTCTTCGTGATGCTCTCTGGAACTGGCCAGCTATTGGGCTCTCCAGACTATGCCAGAAGTCAGGCACTGTGAACTGTCACAGCAATCATGATGTCTTTCTTAGCCATTCTGTCTGGTTCATCTCTCAAAAAGAATTCTACCTACCTTCTTTAAGAGGGGCTCAGTAATGAAACAGATGCTTTGCAGTCCCAAGATTTTAGGTACAAGCCATGGCAACACCAGTGAAAAGGAAGTTTTTTGTTGTCGTTCAGTCGCACAGTCGAGTTTGACTCTTCGCGACCCCATGGACCAAGTCATGCCAGGCCCTCCTGTCTTCTGCTGTCCTCTGAAGTTCACTCAATTTCATGTTCGTTGCCTCGATGACACTGTCTAACCATCTCATCCTTTGCCGTCCCCGTCTTCTTTGACCTTCAATCTTTCCCAGCATCAGGGTCTTCTCCAGTCAGTGCTCCCTTCTCATTTGGTGGCCAAAGTATTTGAGCTTCAGTTTCATTATCTGGCCTTCCAGGGAACAGTCAGGGTTGATTTCTTTTAGGGTTGACTGATTTGATCTTCTTGCAGTCCAAGGGACTCTCAAGAGTCTTCTCCAGCATCATAGTTCAAAAGAATCTATTCTTCGGCGCTCGGCCTTCCTTATAGTCCAACTCTCGCAGCCATACAAGACTACTGGGAATACCATTGCTTTGACCATGCGGACTTTTGTTGGCAGGGAGATGTCTCTACTTTTTATCATGCTGTTTAGGTTCGTCATCGCTTTCCTCCCAAGGAGCAGGCGTCTTTTAATTTCATGGCTGCTGTCACAGTCTGCAGTGATCTGGGATCCCAGGAACGTGAAGTCTGTCACTACTTCCACGACTGCTGGAAAAGATCCTTTTCTTCCTGAGACCCCAGCAAACTGCTGCCTATTAGAACAGACGAAACTGAGCTAGATGTACCAACTTTCTGACTTCATAGGGCAGCTTCATATGCTTCTATAAGTACCAAATCTTGCACAGGTAACAGTTTCCACAATTTGCTGCTGTTGAACCGAAAAGCTTTTGGTGTGACCAACCATGCAGAGTTATTCCCATCTATTCCCACTGGGATCACTCTGCATGAGATTGCACTGTGAGTTTCTTAGGTAACAAAATAATTTGATGATCAGTATAATTTGCGTCATTTATTCTTTTTGCACTGCATTTCTGAGTGGCGGAAGTTTGGCTTTTAACTTGCAATAAACAAAGACTCCTGCTTTTATCAAATGACTGTAAAATAATTCTTCAACAATCATTCTAATCCATTTTCCCTCCTCCCTACTTAGTTTCAAAAGGATATGTTTATTCCTCCTTCTTGAAACCCTATAATCCGGCAAAGATGCAAAAGGATGCTGGGGAAGCCAGTTTTTGTGACGGCGACTTTGATAACATCAGCCTCTTTGTCTCTTCCCGGCAAACGGAGAATGGCTGCACCAAAACCGCAGGACATAAGAGAAGTGACAGCGGCTCTTCCTATAATAGTCTATGTGAAAAGTCTGCAGTTAATGGGACAGAGACGGATAGTATTTACGAAGTGGATGACCAACACGTAAGAAGGTTTATCTTTCTTGTCTGAGGTAAAACTGGCCCACTTTAGAGCACAGGATGACAGGGCCCAAATTTAGAAGACTGATTAAGGTCATATAGTTAAGAAAAGTGGTACTTCTGTGTTGATCAGACTCTGTATAAGAAGCTCTTAGTATGTTAGATCCAGCACAAGGACTGTGCGGGGACTACAGAAGGATCTCTGATCTTGCCAGCTTCCCCCTCCCTCTAGCAGACATTTCTGATACTGGGGAATTTTATTCCTGGACTCATGAGGATTAATAGTCACATGGATTGGGAGTCTGGAGAGAGGAAAGGGGGCAAAATCACTCCTGTCAGCAGTGCTCTGCTGATGGAAGAGACAGGAAGGAACGATTTCACCCTCTTCCTGCACCTTTTCTCACTCCCCTTGATGGTCACTTTCTTCTGCTAAGACATTTCTTCCACTACCCCGGGTTTTCCACACCTACCATATTCTCTCATGGATGACAGGCTCACTAAGTCATTCTCCCATTCTGCCTGAAATATGCAAAAAAACCCCCAAAACCCCTCAAATATTTGGTAGTTCAGACTCATTGAAAAAGCTGACGTCTGAAACTTCTGGATTTGAAACTTCACCCCCTCTCTCAAATATTTGGTAGTTCAGGCTCATTGAAAAAGCTCACGTCTGAAACTTCTGGATTTGAAACTTCAGCAACATACTAACATATAATAGTGTATCACTTGTCAGCCAGCATGCATTCTCTACACTGTTAATCTAATCTAGGCAATTGCCAAAGGGTATGAGTGAGTCGATCAACAGGCTAAGTCCATTGTACTCTGATCAGTTTCTCTGGATAGTTCTTGGGTTTGTATGAATGTTCTGTGTTTGAGATTAGAGATGTCTCATTTAGTGCACAGTGAAATGACTCTTCTCCTTCTGCTCCTCCCACAGACGTTTTATGCAGTTCATGCGTTTCAAGCCAGGAGTCACCAGGAACTCAGTCTTCAGGAGTATCAGCGGGTTCGGATCCTTCGGTTTTCTGACCTGAGTGGCAATAAGGAATGGTGGTTAGCTGAAGCTAAAGGACAAAGGGGATATGTGCCAGCTAATTATCTTGGGAAGATGACATATGCGTAATGAAGAACATCAATAGGACATGAAACAGCACGTTGGCACCAAAGACTTTATTTTTGCATTTCTCCGTTTCTACCCTGTGTGTTTTTGTATCTGCAGAAGGACATCCATCCATTCCAAAATCAAAAGCTGAAGACTTTATAAAAAGGATATGTAAGGCTTCTTTCCATTCCCTTCCTGAAAAGCTTGCATTGAAGAATCTTCACTCGTATCCTTGTTACATTCCAGTTACAGCCAGCCGTATGTTTCAGGACAGTAGAAGCATTCAGCTATGACATTCACTTGGGTATCCTTGGCAAATATGTATGTCCCAGGGCTTGGAGATCTCTCAGAATTTCAACTAATCTCCAGACTATGGAGATCAATTCCTCTGGTGAAAATGGCTGTCGTGGAAGGTGGCCTTATAGACTGCTGAAGTCCCTCCTTCCCCAGGCTTCCCCCAAATCCCCAGGAACTTCCCAACCCAGAGCTGGCAACCATAGTCTTAACCTAACTTACTTCCAATAGCTGAGCTAGTATGGTATAGTGGACAGGGTGTTGCACTAAGAGTATCAAGGCCAGGGTTCAAATCCCCACTCGGCTATGAAGTTAATTGGGTTACCTTGGGCCAGAACTCCTTTTTAGCTAACCTGCTTCACAGGATTGTTGTGTGGATAAAATGAGGGGAATTCTGCATGTCTCTTGAGTTCCTCCAAAGAAGGGCGGGTGAAAAATAGATGGATGAACAGATAGCTAATTGTCATGAAGGTAAAATGTTACCCAGTAAGGGCAGGGTAGAAAAATCCCATATTCTGGAGGACAATGAAGAATCCACGCACAAATGAAGTTTTTCCAGCTTCATACATCATTGGACCTCGGCTTGCAGTCTTCAAGAAGTATCAAAACTTTTTTTTAAAAGTGTGAAAAAAGACATATTTTATGTCGTTTGAGATGGATGGACTCTAAAAAAAAAGCAGGAAATGTGCAAGATCCTGTTGCATATTTAATTCTAATTCTACTGTATATAAATATTTCAAAATGTTACCAGCTGGGGAGGGCGAGAGAACTAGTTCATGCCTATCATATCTCCAACATTAAATTCAAAGCGAAATGTACCAGAATGATTTCCAGCTGGAATCGAAAGCTTTCCCATTTAGTTATTCTTGAAGGTGAGGTGACTAGCGGTCCTTCCCCATCTGAAGTGCACTGCACCAGGGCTGTCCTTCTCAGTGCTGCTGCTATGAAAATGGTTTGGGATTTAACCCTCATCCTGACACCAAATCTGCTTTCACACATTTGGTGCTTTCACTATTTATATGAATTCCCAGAACAGAACACTGGAACACGAGGATCAAGGGAGCAGCTGGGATTTATAATTATCAACCAAAAGTAGCATTTCCAAATCTGTGTATCCAAGTTCCGCAGGCCTGACACTGTTTGCTTTTTCAGAGGCACTGCACACGTGTGCAACATGAAGGATGGAACTAAGGCTCAACAAAAATGTGAAAATGACGATTTCTTAATTTGACTTACATTTTGAAAAACAAACACTTGAATCTGATTTCCCAGTTTGTTAAAGACTAGCTAAGGAGAAAGCCTCTCCTCTTTTGTGCCCTGGAGAGCCTTGCGCTCTGCAGAGAGCCATCTGCTGGTTGTCCCCGGCCTGAAAGTTGCCGGTCTAGCCTCAACCAGCGCCAGGGCCTTTTTGGTTCTGGCCCCAGCCTGGCGGAACATGCTTCCGAATGAGATCAGGGCCCTGCGAGACCTGTTGCAGTTTTTCAGGGCCTATAAAATGGAGCTGTTCCGCCAGGCCTTTGGTTGGGGCAGTGGGCGTCTACCAGCTGGCCTCCCTATTGCTGCTACATGAGACCATCATGGCTTGGCATCAGCCCACTTATTTTTCCCGGCTGTAGTGACTGGAATTAACTGCATTGCACTATCCACTTTAAATATTTTAATTACTTTAAATTTTAAACTGGTGTGATTGTATTATTTATTGTATTAATTTAGATTGTTTGCATTTATTGTTGTGAGCCGCCCTGAGCCCATTCGTGGGAAGGGCAGGATATAAATTGAAATAATAAATAAACAAATAGGTGGTGTGTGAGAGAAAACAAGCAATGAAGCGGATAGCTGACACATGCAAGAATCAGTCTTGCAATGCACAGAACATCAAAAAGTACCAAGTTACAGCAAATAGTTCCTATTACTTCATTGAGAGCATTTGTTTAGTCTGAATGGAGCCATATGTGATTACCTTATGTCATTAAAAGGCATATGGTGGACACTTAAAGTGTCTGAATGTGAACCTTACTGGCGACTTTCCCAATGTATCTCGTACCCATAGCTTTTGCATTTTGCCACAAATTCAGTGTTCGTGCCAATGATTCTGTTATGCCAGTAAAGTTCAGTAAAATCACAAGCAAAATGTGGGGAGAATGAAACATAGCCTCAATACAGCCTACCTTTGGCTAGCTGCTATGATGATCCCAACGCCTACAAACTGAATGGAGTAAATTGAGTGTCCGTATTAGGTACACTATGTTTTGTTAATGTAAACAATTTGTAATGAAGGAAAAATCAATGGTTGGAAGGCTTCTTTTTGTCATGCTTTACATTTCAGAGTTCTTCAAGCAGACCTGTCCCCCCAGTAGTAGCTGAAAGCTGTAGACAGCTGAATTGTGTGCAAGGGGCTAAGACCCACACAGGGATGAAGCTGTTGTTGTAGGACACAAATTTCAGAACATTAATGATTTTTAGGATCTCAGTTCTAAAGTGTCTGTCCTCTTTACATTATCTGGTTTTTCAGGGTCATTAATGGATTAGTTCAACCTGGAAACCAAAATCAATGGCTAGTTAAAGGTACTTGACCTCTAGATGTCTTAAGAACACCATTTCCTTTTGGGTACAATGTTAAAACCTCTCTAGGGAAAACAGGCTTCCATGTTATTACATTCCAAGTGGACTTGAGGTCTAAAAAAGGCTAATAGCTTTCAATAAGTGACCACCAGTGGAGTCCATAATAATGTATTTGTTGCATTCTCAGTATTCACTCTTCAAATGGGTTTACAGGAGCCCTCTAAGAATCTACAGCTAATTGAATGTACATATTCATTTATATAGAAAAACAGGCGGAATCTGTAAACTAATATTAAAGATAGGGAGCTAGATTAGGAGGGTTGTCGGGTCCAAACTCTGTGAAGGCTGCTTAAACTCATACAGAAGGAAATTTCCATTATGTGCAGGTCTCCCTCCCCATCTCAGCATTGCGGGGAAAACTGAGCCAAGCAATATTATCCTGTGGAATAAAAGAAGCCCTTTCAGACTTGACATTTGGCAACCCTAACCAGTAGTAGAGATCTTGGAAAAAAGTGAGATCACAGCAAGGTGATATGATTGGTCAGTTTGCATAGATGAGGGTTGTGGTGGAGGGGGTATTATATTTTGATTTGAAGAATTGAGGTTAATCAAATTAATTGCAACCACTGAACATAATATAGGAGCGACACAAACAGGGTAACTATGCAACTGCATGACTCACCAGCACAGACTGTGTTCTGAACAAAACTGTCAAATTGAGATGATTGCTACTGAGACTCAATTTTTTGCCTTTGGTAAACAAGCATCTGTATAACTTTCTTATTCGGATGGTGCACGCAGACACAAAATGTACTTATTCCTTCTACAGATGTCTGTATTCCCATTTCTTCACAAGGTTCCATTTCAATCCTAAAGAGTGATGTTGCATTCATCAAAGCACAAATAGCTTACGCCCCTCCACTCCAAACACCTGCTACAAAGACAAATTGCCAGAGATTTATCACTGTGAATTTTAACTACAGCAATATTTGGGAAACAAGATGTTTGCTTTTAAATTACTGTAATAAATCTATATTTTTACAAATATTTGAGTCTGACTTTTTGCCATGTAACTATCTTACCTTTGCCCTGACCTGGGTGGCCTGATCTCACCAGATCTCGAAAGCTAAGCAGGGTTGGCCCTGGTTAGTAGTTGGATGGGAGACCACCAAGGATGTCCAGGGTTGCTACATAGAGTCCAGCAATGGCAAACCACCTCTGAATGTATCTTGCCTTGAAAACCTCTGGGATCTCCATAAATCAGCTGTGACTTGACTGCACTTTCCACCACCACCAGTTCTCTCACTTAAATCCCTTAGCAACCTGGTATCCACATTCTTAAAGGACCCCCTCTCTATCTGAGCCCAGGCTACTGCTATTCCAGTAGTGACTTCTTTCTCTTCCCCCTGGATACGTCAATCGTGCTGTCTGGAATGTTGGGCCTTTACTGCGGTAGCCCCCATGCTAGGGATCAGCCTTCTGGTGACTGCCAGAAAGCACTTACCTGTATGGCCTTTAGAAAGAACTGGTTAATGGGGCTTTTAGGGATATGCGTTCAGATATTTCTGGTCCAAATATTTATCTGAAAAATCCCTTTTCAGTATTTGGGGGGGCATATTCAGGTATCTGGGTGCTATTTGTGATCATCAGGAATACTGGGTATCAATTCCTGAAAAAAACTGGAAATATTTGGGAATATCCACAAGTATTCAAGGCTGGAATTTTAAGGCTCCCAGACCTGTTTTTCTTCCATTTTAAAGTTTTCCAGGCAATAGGGAGAGTGAGGGAAGAAAGCTATGGAATTGGGGAAGCAGTTCTGTGCAGGAAATATGATGTCAAACATGTCCTTGACATGCATAAAGGGGGAGGGGGGAGTCATAAATATCACTGGAACAAGAGATGTTAGGAAAGTAGGAGTGCCAGTGGTGAAGGGCTGCTGCTTCTCCTGGGCTTCCACGCTGGCCTTTAGTTTAGCTGGGATTCTGTGGCTTGACATTGGTTGTGTTGAGCTTGCATCAGTTTTCCTCGCTTAAGTGGATTCTGCTGGGATTCTCTGGTTTGACATTGGCTATATTGGGCTTGCAACAATTTCCCTTGCTTACTTTGGTTCTTATGAGATTCTCTAGTTTGGCATTGGTTGTGCTGGGCTTGCTGTACTGGCTTATGGCTCTGCTGGGATTCTCTGGTTTAATGCTGGTTCTGTTGGACTTGCTGGTTTTGTTTGCAGTTGGAAGCTTTGGGCCAGTGGTTGGTCTTGTAGGTTCAGTTACTGACTTCTTTGAATTTCCTTCCCCCAACAGGAAACACTGAAGACAAGTTGGATAGCTGGAGGTATTCAGGGCCCATAGCACTGGAGCCCTTTGTCCAATTTACTTGAAATGGGGGTGGGGGAGAAGGGTCCTTTACCGGACAGGCAGCACTAGGGCTTCTGCAATATTGGTTTCATTTGGATGAAAAACAGCCATTCCAGCCCCAACTCCCAAGGAATAATGGAACCTGAAAAATTCTGGAATTCTGGGGGGGAAAAGAATCCCAAAATGATACAGGGGACGCGAATACCCCTCAAAAACCATTTTTTGTTGTTGTTTTAGGTACACACCCCTATTTTTGATGAATAGTGACAATGAGGACAATCTTTGCTGTTTTGGTTACTGCATTTATTCTAAAGGAAAGCTGACAACCTTTTCTGGCAATTTTTAAAAGGGGGTGTTTACTTCCTCCTGAGAATACAGGTCTGCCCATTGGTGTTATGCTGAGATGATAAGGGGGTTGACACAAAAGGCGATTCACTGCACACATAGAGAGCATTGGAGAATGTGTGCACACTCATTCACCAGCAGAGAGGAACGGCACTAAGAATGACATGACTGGCAAACTCTGTCTTTCAGGGGAGGAGGCCACGGGTTGGACTTGCTGGCTTTGGAAACTGCATTTCTTTGCCTGGTGAATGGGAATAATCAGTAGGAACAGTGATGGTGGATTTGCTCCTGTACCAGTGGTGACCACTGCTTCTGGCGTAGAATTTTACTCCACACAGGCTTTTTTGCTTCTTCCCTTGTGCTTCAGGCAGGAGTTGCCTAATAGTTTAGCTCTCTCTCCCCCCGCCCCCGGATAGAGAACCCCCCAAGCCCTACAGATTTTTCAACTACTGCATTAGATGTAGCTATTAGTGGGCATTTTAGAGGTACCAGATGTGAGTTAACACAGTCTTTTGGATACTTTACAGAAAGCATCACAAAGGGGAACATGGGTGGGTGCAGGAGGCTCCTTAGCAGAGCATTCCCACTGATTTTAGTGCACTTAGGAGGGTGCAATTCTGTTTAGGATTTAATGGCCAGTTCATCAGTCATTATCTCAGCCTTTCTTAGTATGGCTTGGGTGGAAATAGCAGGACCCCACACTACCTGTAAATAGTTACAATGCAAAGAGCTGTAAAAAATGAAACTATTTCTTCTCTAGTGTATACTGTTTATTATATACTGATTACTATGTATGCTCTTGTCTTGGATAGCCCAAATCTTGTTAGCTAAGCAGAGTTAGCCCTGGTTAGAACTTGGATAAGAGACTACTAAAAAAGTCAAGGGTTGCTACACAGAGGCAGGTAATGGCAAACCATCTCTGAACACATCTTGCCTTGAAAACCCTATGGGATCACCATAGCTGGCTGTAACTTGATGGCAAAAAAGTAATGTTTATACTGCTCCCTTTTTCAGGAGGAATTGATTTAATTCAGGGTCATCTGCTTTTATGTATACCCTTCTCTTGGGGGGGGGGGAAGGTTTGTCTTACATTCAGGACTATCTTCATTTTGAGTAAATATGGTATATCATTAGTGGAACTATTGTTTTAATCTCTTGTAAACTGCTTTTGGGTCTCTACGTGCTAGCACTCCCATCTACATCTGAACACTACTTAAGAGTATTTTTTTTTTTAAATAAAAGACACATTTCCATACTAGTTTTCTGCAGAAAGAAAAATTTCAACTTGCTTGCTGTTATTTTCTTAAGTCCAGTGTGCACCATACGGCCACCGCTTGTTAGGTGCACAGAAGCCTAAACAAGTGCTAGAAATATGAAATAACTAGGGAATAAAGCATCACTAAACCACTGCTTGTATTTGTCTCCCTCTTGCTACCACCACATAAAAGCATTAACGCAAGTTAAAGATCTGACTTTATTACTCAGCTCAATTGGTACCAGGGTTTGAAGACACAGTTTTATCACTTCTTTAATTTCCTTTGAGCAGCTTTTTTCTTGACCATCTGTAACCTCTTCATAGCATTGAGCTGTGATTCTTGAGAAGTAGGACCCTTCACGGATGGCGACTGATTGCCAGATTCTGTGCTTGACTTGCTGGTGCTGCTTCCGCTGCCGCCTGCTGTCCCACCACTTCCATTTCCACCAGTTGTCTGGCTGCTGCTGCTACTGGGAACTGAACTGCTCGGACTCAAGAGTCCTACTTTGCTGACATTATCGCTGCTAACTGAACGACAAAGACCAGTTTTCCCCAAGGTCAAAGGCGGCAGGGGCTTCAGCTGAACAGCGGTTGTGCTACTGTTAGGGGATGCTATCTTTGACCCTAAACCCACTTTAGTGGTTGCCAACCCGGACAAACCCACAGGTTTCTGGTTACTGGAGGCTGTTGTCGGCTTGCCACTGGTGCTCTGCGTTGTAGATCCCATCTTTGTCGTCGATGGACCAGCAGAGGATGTTTTTGCTGCAAATGCAGCCCATCCTGTGAGGCCACTGGTTGAAGAGGAAACAGTGGCATTGGAGTTGTTGCCAGAAACAGCAGCAGAGGTCTGAAATACAAGCAAATTCCACATTAGCAACAGAAGATCCTTTCTGAGCACAATCCAGCATAATCAACAGCAGGAATAACAAGTCATGTTCTTGTCATTATACCTATTCTTCCAATAACAACTGAAGAGAAGATGGATGTGGATTTAAAAAAATCCAAGTAAGTCAGTTCCAAGGTTCTTCTTTCCCTTTCCTCTAAAAATTAAACAAGCTCTCACATGGCACAATGCTTCCTTGCCACATGTACAAAAATAGACCGCAACTGAGATGTCAATATTTGTGAACTGAACAAACCCAGCAGAATTTGTGGTTATTCCGGTCACTTTTCCATTACTTAGTGTTACCAAGGCAGCAAATGGTGAATATTAGACTTTAAGGAAATCGTATGATCTCGGGGGAGGGTTGTTTTTTTTTAAATGGATTTGTTGCCATTTAAGAGGCATGTATAGCTAACTGGCTGTGTGCAATGATGAGTTACCAATGTTTGTTCCTGCTTCTTACAGTCATTAGAGATCAATAATCTGAGAAAACATAACAAAGAACTCTTCTGCACTGCAGTCCATTCGTTGCCCAGTGTTTGGGCAGTAGCCAGCTTTTAAGCACAATCCCCAAGCAGTTCTACAAGTCCCATAGAAACGAGTGGCAGCATGCTCATGAGTACAAGACTCCCGTTTGGTTCATAGGCATTTGCACAGATAAGCTTCTTGGTGCTTTCTATTCCTCGGTCTCTTATGGTCTGTTAAAACTACTGAATTACATGCACCAGCGGGTTAGGCCTGGTGGTGACAAGTTCTCATCCGTTCCTTGTGTCACCTTTTATAATCTCAAGAGAATTTGTGCAGCTAAACAAGGTTTCCTTCCTTGACAGATAGGAAGGCCTAGAACAAAAGTGGAATTTGAGGGGAGTGGTGTGGGGTGAAAAGGTTTTTTTCTTCCTGATTATTGTCCTTGAATACTCCCCCAGCTCAATGTGGGATACCGGGGGGGGAGAATCGCCAAGAAAATATTTTTTCATTAAGAAAAGATTTTGCTCACTCAAAATGAAGATCTTTATGTAAACATCATTACATAATGATAATCCTGTGCATAGGTATACAGTATATTTTCAAGGATAAATTTATTGGTAATTAGGGTTACCCTGACCTGGATAGCCCAGGCTAGCCTGATCCTGTTAGGTCAGCCCTGTTTAGTACTTGGATGGGAGGCCACCAATGAAGTCCAGGGTTGCTATGCAGAGGCAGGCAATGGCAAATCACCTCTGAATGTCTCTTGCCTTGAAAACCCAACGGGGTTGCTGTAAGTCAGTTGTGACTTGACAGGAAAAAAAGATTAATTTTGTCCACAATTAATTTGCTATAAAGATTATAGCATATTGATTTGTCTTCTCCTCCGTGTGTGTAATTTATGTGGTACTGTGGTGATGTGGTACGGAAGAGATCAATGTTTTCAGTATTATAAAATTTAACTCAATATCCACATATGCTGCAGGTAGTCCTGATGTGACTCTGAGACTGTCCAAATAAACATTCCTCGCATGCTAAAAAAAATTGAGTTTTCTCTTTAAGAAAGCATAGAGTGCAGAAGTTTGCAGCTGTCTCTCTGTAGTACTTAGGTACATTCACAAGTTTGCTTATAGAAAACTAATGCATGTATACTTTTAGTTTAAAACATGCCACAGTACTACTTTAAATGCCGTTGGAAATTATGCATTTAAAATGATTAACGCTGTAAATTAGATTTAATAAGAGAGTCCTGCGTGTATTTCAATTTTTCCCAAACTTATTTTTTTCTGGGGAGAAAAAGGCTCTCCCTCACAGCTTCAAAATTTCAAAAGATTTTACATCTCTACCTTCTCTCCTCCCACCAACAGATAAAATCTGTGAATCTGGCAGGAAACTGACTCTCTAGCTATACAGTCATATTTTATACCTGGCAGAACAAACATGTTAGCCCAACCTTGGCAGAGAAATCCAGGAATCCTCTCCTGCAGATTTGGAACTAACTTTCTCTAAAATAACTGTGCAGAAAAACCTAGTTTCTTCCAAATGGGAACTGTGTCATATTAGGAAAATGAAAACCTGTGAACTCCTACAAAGGGCTATATTTTACTTTGGCTGTTACAGTTCTCTTTCTGTGCATTCATCAGTTTTGGGTTAAGAATTAATAAATTTATTCCCCCCCGCTGCCACTTTTACTTAGCAGGTGGCAGGAAGGGTTCAGTACTATGGGAACTACTTGTTAGGCTGGAGCAAGAGTAATGCTGGCTGCATCTTACATAACCATGCCTAAGAAATGAATGAATTTAGGCCATAGGTGTTCCCTGGGGATAGCTCAGACTAGCCTGATCTCATCAGATCCTGAAAGCTAAGCAGGGTTGGCCCTTGCTAGTCTTTGGATGGGAGGCCTCCAAGGAATTCCAGGGTGGGAATGCACAGGCAGGCAATAGCAAGAACCTCCGAACATCTCTTGCCCTGAAAACCTTACGGGGTCACCACAAGTCAGCTGTGACTTGATGGCAACAACAACAACAACAAACAGCAGACAGGGTAGCTTGGCCATCAGGCATAACTTCTATGGGTTTGCGCACGTAAGCCAAAATCCTTACTGCTCTTTCCCCAGAAAAGTCCCAGAATGGGACACATTCCCCAACGGGCTATATTGCATATGTGTTAAGGGGAGCAATCCTGAGTCGTTTACTCAAAAGTAAGTCTTGTGTTATTCAATGGGGCTTACTCGCAGGAAAGTGCCCTTAGGCTTTCAGCCATGGTCTATGAAACTGGCAGGGGGGAGGATGGGGCTAGCGAGATTGGTGTGTTCTGGCCATCCCAGGCCAGCTGTCACATGACTCAGGTAGCACCAGAACTTCACTCTTCCCCATCCCTTCCAGACTTGGATGCATAAACACATGCTCCATTAGATACGGATTGCTCTAGCTGGTTGCAGTGTACAGTTCAACCACATTCAGCTTACACTCCTGGGCTGGCCATGGTTCAGGAGTTTGGAGGATATAAGCCAGCCAGCTGTAGTTAAAACAACTCAGTCCAAGGAAGCAAGGAAAAGAACTGTCTTACCAGATAAAGCCTTACAGACACTATATTTTTACAGGTTATTGAGGCTAAGAAATGCACATATTTTCTGTGTGAAACTATATTTCATTTATCATTTAAAATACCAGATACAAAATTATTTTTTGTAAATTAAGGAGGCTTTGTGTTTAAAGACAGAATATATATATAATAAGAGAGTCCTGCATCTGAGAGTTCTATCATCTGCTCAGACTGACTGGCATAATGGAGTGTGTTTCGATTTTGAAGATTTTGAATTCTAATTAGGGGAGCCAATTTTATAATGAGAACACCATCTAAGCAAAATACAGAAAAATGCATTTTTTCCCCACACAACAGTTTATATACAGCACCTTGACCTCTGTCCTCTTAAATGCTAAAAAGGTTGTTGTGGTGTCCAACTTTAGCTTAATCTCTGGCTTCTTTGTCAGTGAATCTTTCACAGCTGGAGCTACTGAAACTACAGCAGGGGCCAGCTTCTGCGAAGGCTTCTGTGTTTTCTGAGCCTGTGTAAATAACATAACACATTCTTACCTTATGCTTTCAAAAATTGCGAGAATTTAAATCAAAATTAAAACCAAACCAATATAAAAGCAAATAATTTATCTGTTAAACATTCTAACCGGTAACACCTGGAAATAAGGAATCAAGGGACAAAGTAGGTATGAGGGAAACTGAAGCTCAAGACATGTGAGATTTTAGGATGAGTAGAAATACTCATTTGAGGAAAACACAGGAAGTTAGATAAGTCGGTCTTACGACTGGCTTAATCAAATATTATCTTTGAAGATGAAGTATAACACAATTTCAAATAGTTAATTGTTCAGGACAAGGATACTTTCTTTCAAAATACCATGATTTTAAAAAGTTCATTCAGAACTTATCTACTAAAATGATGCTTCGACTAATCAACTACTGTTCATCAGTCACTATTGTAGAAATAGTAAACTGTTTCACCTTGGGAATTATTAAGGCAGCTCACATGAAACGCAACAACAACAACAACAAAAGTTTACTGTGGGAAATGCTTGATATTTACAAAACTCAGCCCAGTATTTTTTACTGTTTCTCATCAAAACAGTAACTTGCAACAAACATATCAGGACTTAACTGCATTGAATATCAGCTTTTTCTAGCCAAGTCACTTCTTCCTGTACTTTGATGACTTTCCTTGACTTTTAGAACACAAATTAACTGGATGTTCTTTGATACAGGCCAAAATTTTATGTCATTACATTAAAAAAAAATAACAGCAGAGACAATATACCGGCAGACTTCAGCCGTTCTGTGGACCTGGGGGATTCCACTCGGACTGTGAGCAGAAGGGGGGGGGGGCAAGATCAGCAGTTTTTCTCCCAATTTTCTTTGTGAGTCTGCTGACAAGCAGAAGGAGGAGGAAGAGGAGGGAGAGGAAGATGTTGCCAGCAGTGGGAGGCTGTCAGGAGGAAAAAGAGATTTCCCTGTCTCTGTGATTCCTTCCAAATCCTGTGTACATGTATGATACAGGAAATGCTATGCACCCAAACAACCCTCCTTACTGTAGTTCCCATTCTACACTTCTTTTTAATTCCACATAATAACTCCCCTCTTTAAATACTCTCTGCAAGTGTCAGCAATCCCAGCAAACCACCTCTTACCATCTTTTTCATTTGCCTGATGCATCGAGCGCAGTACCACACTAGGCGAGGATCATTCACCTCCTTGTCCGTCACCTGAGGTTTATGGCAATCTTGGTGGTAGAGGTTATGACACTCCTGACACTCCACTAACTGATTCCCAGAGGTTACTGTCATTTGTCTGCAAAGCACAGAGAGTTCAGAACAAATTAGCACCGTCTTTTGAAACAGGATCTGGAACCTTCCACGTCTCTTCTTAAGATTACTCTACAGAACTCTGTATACGGGAACAGCAACCAAAGTACAGAAGCTGACTGATACTACAAGCAGCTTGCAACAGTCTGCATTTGGACACAAAGGATAGAAAACAAGAAAGGGGAAAAAGAAAAGGTTATAGAAGAAGGGTTGGTTTTTATACACTTTTCTCTAACCTAAGGAATCTCAAAGCAGCTTATAGTCGCCCTCCCTTTCCAGCCACTTTGTGAGGTAAGTGGGGCTGAGAGAGCTCTGAGAAAACAATGACTGGCCCAAGGTCACCCAGCAGGCTTCATGTGCAGGGGAATCAAACCCAGTTTCCCAATTAGAGTCCACTGCTCTTAACCACTATACCACGCTGTCTCTCTATAGGCTGGTTTAGGTGACCTCTTCACCAAGTACAGGATGTGTACATTAGGGAAACATGATCTGCAGTGTGATCCTACACAGTTACACCCTTCTATGTCCATTGATATCAGTTGGCTTAGACAGGGGCCACTTTGTTTAGGACTGTACTGTATGTCTTCCTGCCCTGCCCACAGATTGCAACTGTCCCGCTGGGCATCCATCATGGGTGTAACTTCACATTCAACATACTTCCCACATAGTTCAGGAATCTCCTGGGCTAGCTGGGTCTATGCTCAAAGGCCCGGTGCAAATGGCATGCTGTGTTACTGATGTGTGTTCTGCAGTCGGCTGGCACCACGAGGCAGCACAGATAGATGAGGCAGGATATTGCTCCCCCACTGAGCACAGCCTATACTTGGGCAGAAGGTAATTGTATTTAAGTAATGGGTGCAATCAATAAAGAAGGTACTGGATAGCGAGGGTTTCAACAATGAAGGAGAAGCCAGGGTAAAATTAAAATCATAAAAGAACGGAAGGCCACAAAGAGACTTCAAAGCTTGTAAAGGACGTACGGGGGAACGAGCACAGAAAAATAGTGTACAGTTATGATAATGGCCTGTAACATGAGAGAGATAATCAAACAACAACTGAATTAAAAAGTTGTGAAAAACTGCAACAACAATTACACATGCAACTGGTGGCACAAATGACAAAATATGTTGCTGGTGTCGCTGACTATTTTGCACTCCTCCCTTTAAACAACGACTAGGAATATAAAATAGTCTAGAATTAGGAGATGAAAAAGCCGAAAAGGTTAGTCCTGCAGTTATGCCTTAAAGGCATAGGGAAGTGGATAAGGTCCTTACATTGTATGGGCTTCTGTTGGAAAAATGAGTTTATTAACTGTGGAAATATGTCTTTGAGGTAATCAAACACTATTTCCCTAACGACTTCTTCTTTTAAATGACAAATCGGGTTGTTTCATTGCTAAGCTGCTCTTGCACATAGCCTCATGGTATCAGTATACAGGTAACCATGGAAACTCTATTTGTAGATGGGTAAGAAAAAGCAGCATCTTATTCCTTTACATGATAGGGAAACAAAGACTGACAGTATTGTCCAGATGGCTATGGACCATTCTTAAAATGGCCTAGTTGATATATACATTTTAAAAAATCTTTTTCAAATTCTGGAGTACATGCAATGTAATCCTAAGTATGTAGATTCAAAAGTAAGTCTGATTAAGTTCACTGACACTCCTTAGTAACTGAGATCAGGGACTGCAGCCATAAAATTAGAGTCTCACTCATTTTTTTCAATGATGTGGATTAGGAGAATCGCCCAGCTACATTATATTTAGAACAGTCTGATCTCCATATTTTAAGAACCATAAAGGGTAATTGTGGCCTAGTTTAAACAAAACAAACAAAAAACTAGAATGTATTTTAAACTGGTCTTGAAGTATTCTGTGCCTTGGGGGGGGGGGAGAGAAGTTAATATAATGCAAGATGATTAACAGGCTTTTTGTAAAGGTGTGCAAGTTTCCTTCCATAAAGCTCCCTTTTTGACAGGCCGGATGTCATTTGAAAATCACACAGAACATTTCGCTTCTGAATATTTAATTACACTTGGAAGCTATACTGCTGGCTTAAAACATTTGTTAAGCAGAACAGATCTTCTGAAGTCTCTCTTCTGGCTGCCACAGGGATTCTGACATTTCTGTTCATTCTGGTACTGCCAATTTCATACTTCTACTTAACGCAGTTACATACACAATTCTGAGTGCTGAAGCAAAAACTGTTGCCTTCAGTCATATTTACTCAAGAGCAGTCATTTTTAAGTTGGTAATACTTAGGGGAAACTTCTGAAGTAAGTAACTGAAAAACTCAGAACACTATTCCCTTACTTGGCAGAGTGAATGCTGGGAATTTATTTCTTTTTGGGTTTTTAAAATAAATTTCAAATGGTACAGATGTGCAAAGCATAACACTCAAGCTGGAAGTCACGGCACCTTCTGGCAATCCCTACTGGGATTTGGACATTTCAGAGACGTGGCTAATTGCCCGCTCCACGTCCCAAGCCCTAGAATTCCCCGGAGGTCTCCCTTCCGATTACTTGCCAGGGTCGGCCCTGCTTAGCTTTCTGAAATCTGACAAGATCGGGCTTGCCTGGGCTATCCAGGTCAGGGCAACTGGGCTAATTTTAATCAACAATTTGGCAATTTTATTCACTTTTCTAGACAATGTACATGCCTGCATTTTCAGTCAGTTGTCAGGATTGCATTAAAAAGCTATTGTTGAAACTCCTAGATTATAAAGAACATAAATAAGTAAATAAATTCCTATTAGCACACATTTTTGACAGAGCTGAGTCATTTTTTATGATCGCCACCCCCTCCTATCGCTCACTTATGCAGCCAAAAAGAAATATACCAAATCTGTGACTCAAGAAAGTGTCTAGTTTAACAAGTTTGTGCACAGAACACAAATCAAGGAAAGTAGGAATTTCTCAGACATTTCAACATTATTTACAACAATGAAGTCTATAATTTAACAGTTTTTCACACCTTCATACACAGGCAATATGCCTAGTTCTGCTGATGTCAGTATGATTCCTGATGGCAGTTTGGAATGCTATTCTGATGCTTGTTAATTGTTTACCCAAAATAAGTTCTGCAAATATCTTTATGGTCAACAGAACGCTGAACTCAGAAGTCTCTTCCTGAATCTTAATAAAAAGGATAAGTATCCATATTTTACTATCCTGGGACAGCATCTCTACAGTTACATTTATAAATAGTTAAAAAAAAAAGTAAATGCTTACTACAAAAGATTTATTTTATCACAGGAACTGCACGCACTTTTCACTCATCATTTTTAACTAGGGTGAGCATTACTGGCTTCTTTTGTCATTTATTTTTAACTACCACCAAACGCAATGATATTTCTTTGGACACATTCATCCTCATTTGTAGCCTGATCTTATGCAGTGTTTGGCATGATTAACCACATTTTTATTTATAGGTATGCTGACTTATGGTGACTCTGTAGGCAAGAGATGTTCAGAGATGGTTTGCTGTTGCCACCTTCGCATCACAACCCTGCTTAGCTTCTGAGATCTGATGAAATCGGGCTCGCCTGGGCTATCCAGGTCAGGGCAAGCACACTTAAATCAATGCACTTGCACATGCCTAACATCCCATAGAAAAAGCTGAAAAAAGTTTGACATTTTTTTATGTATATATGATTTACAACCTAATGAAAAGATCTTTCCTTTCATGAACCAAAGTTTATGGTGGGAAACCCAGTGCCAATATTACTCTTCAAAAATGTGCTTAAAGCGAAAAGTAACTACTATTCAGAACCAGCATAAAGATAAACTATGCTCTTCACAACTGGCAAACAAACAAAATTTATGCAACGCACCGACAGACAACACAAGCCAAGCCCATCTCCATGGCAAAATCATCAGCACTGGTTTCTTCAAAACTAGAAAGATCTGGCATGGCCAAATCCTTGCTAGTCTGGACTGTGATTGGAGAAGAACGAGTTTCTGGTTTTTCTAGCCTTGGTTTCTTTGGAAGATCAACTCCTTCACTGATTTCCAGCTTTATCTATATAAAAGACACACACAAACAGAGCTGATAAGTAAACAAAAGACTGGTTTGCAAGCAAAAATTACCAAATGGTGCATTACAAATTGACACTATATGCAAAGTATATTACATTCATTAATCTAGGCACATACTCCCAAATTCTGGATGGCATGAGGCACTGTGAACTTTACAAGCTAATCATGAGAAATGTATTATTCTTGCTATGACAGAAAGTGTATTGGCAAATTAAAAGCAAATTGCAACCGCAGCTTACAGTATCTAAAAGGAATACTTCAGGGTTTTTCTTCATGTAAATTTGCACTCATTTAATATTACCTTATCTGTACTTGTTAACAGTTCTTACAAAGCAAAACTGACAAAATTTAAAGTATGATTCATTCTTTGCAACAATATATAATAAACAGATTAACGCCTCACCAAACTTGCAGACTGGTTAAAACAAATGCTAGCCTTATAAGTAAGATCAGTTTTTCTAGTCGATAAGTAGCACATCAGTTCTTAGCCCATTGGCAAAGAAGGGTGCAACTCTGCTTGGGACTCTACCGGAAGGCTTACCAGGCTTGTGGCTAAGCCAGGATTTGAACCAGGGCTTTCAGGTTCATTACTCATGCTTTTAACTTCCATGCCAGCACCAGGGAGATGCAATTGTGCTCATTCATTAAGCAGAAGCCCCACTGTCAAGCAGTCAAAAACAGTGGTGGGTAAAGTGAAGATGCAAAGGGAGGTGAAATAAACAAAAGCCTAAACAAAATTAACATGCTCCCTTATCAGCATGCGACACTGAAAAAAAGCAAAATAACTTTGCTGGGCACCCTTTGAAAACAAAGTGATCTCCACGGAGGAAAAAAAGCACACGGCTCACAGTTCTGAAAGCAGCAAGCAGACAAGCAATTAGCTGAATAACATATGGTGAAAATACAGCAAGCAGAGCAGACTGCACTCGTACCCAAGGATTAATGCTACCTATGCTGCATAAAACAATTCACCAAGGGCCACAGTTTGAACTAATATGTCCTTTGTAAAATCCCCCAGGAATGTTTTCACCATAATCATGAAACTTACTTTATCAGCAGGCCTCTTTTCTGCTTCTTTTTTCACCTTTTCGGCAGCAACGGGTTTGCCATTATTGTTTCCCGAGGGAAGGCTTGAGGAAGCCTTTGGCTCTTGCTTAACAGAAACTGGCTTTGTAATAGACACTTTGGGCTGATCTACTTCCTGAATAAAGCAAAACGAGCATGTTATATTATAGCAACATTTTAGACATTTGCTACTTTTGAGTTCATAAAACTAAGCAAGCTCCACATTGTACTTAAACTTTCTTAAAATATTGCCTGAATGGCATTTTTAACAACTAAGGCTAGCCCACCAGCTGTGGCCATTCCCGAAGAAAACAAGCATTGCCTTAGTCACACACGCCTTGGTGACATCTAACATACTCTGTGCAGCCCTTGAATGTCACAGAAATGTCACCTGATGCAAAAGAGTGGTATAATTGGGACCAGCAGCAGAGATTATACCAAACAAGCCTTATTCCAGCTATACTGGCTTCCAATTGTTTCCTGGCACAATTCAAGGTGCCGTTAATAAAGCCCTAATTGGTTCAGGCGGCACCAAATACGTGACGGACCATCTCCACCCATTATTACCTGCCTGGGAGCTGAGATCATCAAACGGTGTTCTCTAGCATGAACCAGTAATTATAGAAGTCACAGACCTAAACCTGCAGAAGGGCTTTTTCAGCAGCCACCCACGGATTATGGCACTCTGTTCAAGCCTTATGACGGTGTAGGAAGATGTTTCTCTTTTGGAAGGCGTTAAATTTGGAGTAGGAATGATGTGAGTAAACAGAGTTGATGCTGTGTGTTTTATTAATGCTATGGATCATTTTGGTTTCTGTACCTCACCTTCAGCATCTGGTTAAGACAGATTTATCTGTTTACTTCACTTAC